TAACATTTTAGACACATTCTAGACAGTTTATCAGCTAAAAAAAGTTAATTTTGGGGTAAGTTACTCTTTAACTAGCGCTTTAGAAATTGCGCAACTAAACTTWGAATTAGCGCTGCCCACCACTGAAGATAATCAGCATAAATTACTTTTGTCAACTTTTGTTTTCTGATTAAAAACTCTGAGCTACAAAAAATCCTTCTTATCACATCTTGTCTGTTTTTATCCATTTGATTATTAAGGTTAGAATAAATCTAGTGGGAGCTGCTGCAGGACCACAGTGTTCCTCCACAGTGTGCTCGTTTTGTCTCTCTGTGAATGTCCTGTTTGGTGGGGACACCTTTCCTGTCCTTCCTGTGTTTCTGTCCTTCCAGCTGTGTCCCTCCTGTTTGCCTCACTTTGAATCATCCCACTCTGCTCTCTGTCTCTGTATCAGTTCAACCACTTCAGTCACTTCAAAATGACCATCCCTCAGTATTATAGGTCCTCCTGTCTTTCACTTCCAGTGAGTACCCCCACAGCACCGCCCCCTATRCCCCCTTTGCTAATGTTTGACCTCTAATCTACATGCTATGAGACATGGAGCTTCACAGTTGCATGGAGTATGTTTTTAATGTCTCTAACATCTCTCACCTGACCTCAGAGTTCAAGAGGCTGCGTCCATCTTTATCTCCTTCACCAGCTGACTTCCATGTCTGGGTTTTCTCATAGCTTAGCTACAGTGGTCTCATTTCACCCAACACTGCGCCTGTGTGCTCTGACCAAAAACATGCATGTCAGGTTGCCTTCAGGTCCTGTGATCTCAGTGGTTAAATGAAGGTAATAAATCTGGGTGCATGTCTTGTAGTCAAAGCAGTGGAGAACAAACATGCTAACACTGAGGAAAACACAAATCCTCAAGGGTGGTAACTCCAAAWGTTTTTGATAAAAAAATTAAATCTGGAGTTTGTGTGAAACAGGATGAGAACAGAAGACTCCTCTGTAAGTTGGTGTGCTTCTGAAAAGATTCCCGTTTCTGTCTCGTTTCCAGGGCCACGACCAGAGCTCCACCTTGTCCCAGCACACAGCTGAGCTGACCCTGCCCAAACACAGCCCCCTCCACCGGGACCTGCTGCGCTACGCCAAGCTGATGGAGTGGCTGAAGAACACCCACAGAGAGAAGTACGAAGGCCTGTCCATGGTACGAGACATTATCTTATAACAACCCTGCCTGTTTTCACTGGCAGTAAAACATGATGCCTTTTTCTTCTAGTTTCCAACATAGTGACCACACAATATTTGGCTCATTTTAGCAGAAAATCTTCAAACAATGTTTAGGTCTACATCAGGGGTGCCCAACCTTTTTTGAACCAAGAGCTACTTTTGAAGTCGGCAGTTTGCTTGCTGAGATCTATTTGTCTAGTCTCAGTATCAAAAAACACAATTTTTCATCTCCCTACTCCTCACTTCTTTAAAGTAAATAAAACAGAATGTAACGTGTTGCTAGTTTTATTTAAGTTAAAGTATTTTCAAACAAAACCATCTACTTAACCATATATTTACCTATGAAAAAAAGAAAAGGTAAAATCCTTACTTAACTCCTGACAGAATGAAAATTTTTGAATGAAAAGGATCAATTTTTTTACCTCCTTCAATTAATACTCCCTGTAACGTGCGAGCTATGAGGGCTGGAAACCTGCACACTGACAGAACCACAGAGTTAAATAACTTTGGAGCACGGGAACTCATTCTCCATTTATTCAAAGAACTTTCCTCTCTCTCTCTCCATACAGGGGAGGAAAAACAAAACAAAAACTAAAGTCAAAGCACACAATATAAAACTCTCTCGTTTATACTGTTACAAAAAGTGACTTACGATGGTGCAGATTCACAAATCTCCAACAACTATTTCAAACCTCAATCTGCAGCAGGATGGTGTCATCTGTAGGTGCTGAAGAGCTCAGTCCCTCACTGGTCCAGACTGCTGGTTCCAAAGGGCCATTCAAAGAGTTCCACCTGTTCACCACCTATCAGAAAAGACACACACACAGCCACGTTAGGTAGAGAAAACAAGGGCACACCCAAACTGCAAAATAAATAAATAAATACAACAAAGRTGCCAGTCAGTGCATAACACACCAGTCTGGTCTAAAATGTAATAAAAACAACATACAGACACATTGTGACAAGTCTACAGGAGACAACTTTTTATGCAAGTTGTATAAAAATAAATGTATGTCTACCTTAGTGGGACTTCTGACACTGGGAGAAGGCCAGGGTCTCATAGTTGGGCAGTATGGAGGCACAGGCTGGTCTCCAGATGTCATCAGTCTTTGTGAATCTGTTCTTGGACTTGATGATTTTCATGTGAGCGAAAGCAGACTCACACAGGTCTCCATCCATGCAACTTGTTGCTCTGGATTTGATCCTAATGTCATTTTGCAGAGTCAAAACCTCATTCCAGAGCAGTCCAGCTGAGACACAGACTCGAATTTGGTCTCAATGTCATCCATCCTAGACAAATGCACGTCTTTAGCTGCCACAATCTCACTTTTATTTTTAAAATCACAGAAAAGCATCTGCAGCATCAAACGCTTCTTTCATAACTTTGTCATCGCTGAAAGACCTCTTTTGTGTTGAGCCAGCATGCAGATAACCTGGCATGAGGCTATTGTAGCAGCCTTACCTGTTGGACCAAGTGAAAACCGAGCTGCAAACTTCAGCTCCGTAACATTCTGAGCTTGGTTTAGGAGG